TCCACTGGTTAACATGAGAGCCGGAATGGAGGTGGTAATCTGGGCTGGACATGACTGCAGTCTCCCTAGGGGCAGATGTGGACTGGGTCTGAGGGTTACCAGACTGGGCCAGATTTCAGCACTCATTGGTGCTCATGAGAGCCAGGATGGTTGTAGGATGCGCTGGACCCAGTCTCGGCTCCCACTGAATCACATGAGAGCTATGTCTGGGTATAGGCCAGCTGTGTCTTGGCTGCAGCACCCAACAGTAAAAACTGGAACAGGTGTGAGCTAGTTGGGCAAGGCTACTGCTCCTGCCAGGAGATGAACTAAGTCAGGCTAGCCCAAGGAACCTCACTGGTGTGTGCAAGGAATGCCAGTGGGAGGAGACCTGATGGAGCTTGGGGAACTCCTCTGTCAGGACACAGTCACTACAGGTGAGCATAAGAACCAAAGCTGGGAGCCAGACCAAGCCAGGTTTGGTACCCACCAGGATATGTGTGGGTTAGGTATGGAGGCAGACCAGGCTGGGCCAGTCCATAGCACCCACTGGCAGATCTGCAAACCAGGATGGGGTGCAGGATAGGCTGGGTTGAGCCGCAACATCAGTCAGTTCGCATAACAAAATATGTGAACATCATCAAAAATAAAATTAAAATAAAGAGAGATGATGATTATGAGACAGTATTTGCAAGCAAGAAATTCTCATCTTCACGCTTGTCTGCTATCCATGTCCCTGTAAATATGGGAAATGTGATGAAAGATGACAGTCTTGTGAAATGATATCTGACAGAGAAATCTCTCACCAGAGACGAGAACTCGAGTTTACACAGAAAGCAGAGATGGTACAAGTTTGAGAGACCGGGTCAAAAACAAGACAGACAGAATTGAGCATAACTGTAACTGAGTCTGCTTGCTGAGATTGTGGGTGAAGCTTCCAACACACAGGTTGAAACATCTAAAATGTTTAAGTTAATGTGATATTAATGTGATATAAATAAGAGCATTTCTCCCTGAAAACATAAAGAGAGATGTTAACATGACAATTTCAATGAATTGATTAAGCCTTCATTTCCTCTTCATGCCCATTCATAGATTGGAAAAGTAATCTGAAGGTTTCTTCTCATGCAAGTTTATGATTTAAAACAGACAGATGCAAAGTAGCCCACAGTCTTGCTAAGGACACGAGGGAGAAGAGCTTATACTGTTTTTCAGTGAATGAAGTGTTGAGCCAGGCTTTCCCCACAGGATGTGCCGGGTAGCAACCCATGCAGCCCACGCTGTCTGAACTGAGGACTCGGGGAGAGCTCCCTGCTGGCTCCCCACAGCTCTCAGCAGGGCTTCCCTAAAGCGCAAGCAATCATGCTGACTCATCCCTTCCCCACAGATCTTTCCAACCCTACTTCAGGTTATACATTTCAACCTTTGCTTTTGCTATCACGTTTTAAGTCAAAAATAAACAATTAAAAAAAAAACATGAACATGACATGGAAGGATTTTTATGTCTTCAAGTTGTGCCCAAATCCTTTGTAGGACTCTCCTTCAGAAGTTATTTTGGATCGCTCCTTGGCCTTTTGGCTAAGATCAAGTGTAGAAGTTATTTTGGCCTGGGTGACCGCACACAGATCCCAGACACAACATAGCTGACTGTCCCTCAGGCACTACCTGTGTTCAGTCCCCAAGGAGACACACTGTTCCTGGACATCCTGGTGACCCCACTGAGTCCTCGGCTTTACAACCTGCTCCTCAGAAAGCAGAGTAAAGCAGTCCAGAGAACCGGGCACAATAGCAGGCAGCAGCAAAAGCAACTGGACCAACAGGAAGAAGCAACAAGGAAAGGGATACACCCATTCTCTTGATCAGGCACATCTTCAGGCACACAACTCAGCCTCGGTCACAGCAGGACCTAGCCTGGGAAGGTGGTGGCAATATCACCTGGTGCCCACTCTGTAAGAGTTTGAGCCAGGGGCCACACGCCAACCACCAACACCCACCCCGTACTCCATTCAATCGCTGTCTGTTGACACACCCGCAAACTGGCCTGCTCATGTTGCAGTGAATCCTATTTGCTGAAAGAGCCTCTGAATCAGTGAAAGCTTCCTTTCACACGTGACTTCCCAGGTGTGACACCACCTCACTCACCACACAAACCTGACTGGGAACCCATCAGAGTACTCAGCAAACACATTCTGCAAAAGCAGCCTCGTCACACTGCCATCATCTGAAAGCCTCTGTTTGCACCACGATGTTAGACTGACTTTACAAACAGGAAACAGTCCTTAAGACTGCTTTAGTTCATTCCAGGGCTTAACACATAAACCACATCAAAAGTGGGAAAGCCACAAGTCCCACTACCAAATTATCAAAGATAGTAGTTGTTTCATTATTCTAAAGTATATTTTCATGTAATTCTATTAGCCAGTTTATTAGGAACTTTAAATAATGTTATTATGCTAACTGTAACTCAAATTGCCTATAGAAATAAGTTATCACTTGGCAATAATAATCCTACACAGTTTTTATTAGCTTCCTGCTATGCAGACCAAAGTTTGCTTAAAATGTTTTAGAAAAAAATATTTTTATAGAAAATTATAATAGTATTTACACTATTCTCTATTAAAAAGCCACTGCTATATTATTCTTACAAAACATTTTCTCCATTTTTTTCTCACAACTTACAATGAAACTAATAGTTTTGTTTTGTTTTAATGCCAATTCATCTATTTATTTAAAGGGCCAAGTGACATACTTGGGGGGGGGGGCGGTGCAGACAGAATGAGAGAGAGGAAGAGATACATAGATATCTTCTATCCACTGGTCCACTGCCCAAATACCCAAAACGGCTCTAACTAACCTGAGGCCAAACGCCAGGAACTGCACAGGAGTCTCCTACTGGGTGACAAGGATTTAAGAATGTGAGCCATCATCTGTTGCCTCCAGGAGCATTAGCGGGGTATTGAACCACAAGCAGAACCAGCAGGGACTCAAAACTGGTGCTCCAAAACGGGATATCAGTTTTGCAAGTGGCAGCCCCAACACATCTGCCCCATACTAGTTCATTTTTCTTAGGAAGATGTCAGAGGCAGGGATTGTGCTTAAGCTGCTGTTTGGGATAGCCTGGCCCATATCCGGGCACCTGGAATCAAGTTCTATCTCCATTTCCTGCCACCCACATGGGATATGCAGATTGAGTTTCTACCTTCTGGCTTCAGTCTGGCTCAGTTCCGACTGTTGTGGGTACTCAGGAAGTGACCAGCAGGTGGATGGTACTTTTCTGTCCACCTTTTAAATAAATGGAAGAGAAAGAGGGAGAGAGAGAGTAAGGGAGAAAGGGGAATGGTATTCCCCAGAGGCTGGGGTGGTTGAGTGGAGGACAGGTGGACAGACGTCAGTGAAAGAACCCAAAACTTCACTCACATAGGAGGAATAAGTTCAAGCATGATGACTTCAGTTTTTAATGACACACTGTATTCCTAAAAGATAGTGGATAAGTGATCCCACCACGTAAATAACTGTGAAGCAACACATTCATCTGTTATCCAGCTTTAACCATTCCATAGTATGTACATACTGGAAATCATCATGCTGTACTTGACAAACACAAACCAGGCTGTTTGTCTATCCAAAGCCAACACATGACAGATTTGGGCCTTGAGTGCTCATGGTGTTCTAGAGACCACTGACAACCACATCAAGGTGGACCCAGGGCTGGTTACGCTGTATCCCTCTACACCAAACGGAGGCCAGGGCTTCCCAGGTCCGGTTTGCACTTCCCCACACTGGGCAGAGCTATGCTTTGGATGAGGACAGCGCCAAGCATCTCTGAGACTTACAGAATTACAGTCCTCACTCCACTTCCCTCCTCCACCAGGGCTCACGTCACCGCAGTGAAACATGTCACACAGATCTAATCCAAGTCGGAAAACATAAACAGATCCAACTGCTGCTAAGAACAGACAGGTATGTGATAAATAAAAAGAACCAACTAGACATTCGCTGCCTAATACGTGAAAAGTAATTTTCACTTGGGTTTTTTAGCCACAAGCGTTATATTCATGTTTTGGGGTTTAGTAGCATGTACTCCAGAGGCTGGTTGATTGGACATTTTTATTAACTATATTCCTTAACTGTAACAACACTAGATGCTTCCAAGAAAAAAAATTATTGTATAAGAAAGTTGGTCATGTTATTTGTCTGGATAGAATTAACATTTAAAATGCCAAAAAAAAAAAAATCTAAAACATAAGCTTTGACACAGACAAACGTGGTGTGCACATTCACACACATTCATAGCCCCGTCCCCGCCACCCTCAAGAAAAAGGGGGAGCACTTGACAGGAAATCAGACATTCACTCTTCTCTTCCAACAAATCCCAAACAAATGGTGGGTGACATTCCGGTTTTCTGTACACTCCAGCCAGAGCGCCTTGTCCGAAATGCAGCCCTGTCCCCCCTCCCCTCCAGCACCAACAGCCACCACGGGTTCTCCGGGAATATTTGCAGGTGAGCTCCACGCTCTCGGGTCAGGGTGACCTCGTAAGCCCTGCACAGTCCACACAGGTTCAGCGGTGACCCCAAGGCAGCTGGATCAGCCAGCAAAGCCCCTGGAACATTTCCTACAGTCCAAGGACCGGAAGCACCACGGCCAGCCGACAAGAAGGAAGAGCGTCTAGCCCAGCCCAACCTTGGTCGACCAGTTCCTCTACCCACAGCTCCCTCTCCCATCCAGCACAAAGTCAAAGCACATATATACATGCGGGACCATGTGTCCTGGGGGGCGCGAACCCGGGACTGTTGCTGACACCGCTTTTACAAGACATCAGCAGCTAAGAAGTTGGACGCAGGCATTCCAACCCCACAGAACGTCGCCCTGGAGAACCCCTCCGAACCTCCTTCCCCCCAGCGGGAACTGTCCTGGGTTCCAGTAGCCACCTCCATCCCCAGGCCTCCTTCTCGGCTAGAAACACAATGAGCGCCCGGCCTCTCCCACCCACTCCGGGCCCCAGCCCCTCACACCCTCACCTCTCGGAGCTGCTCCAGCTCCTGCTTGAGGCCGTCGTAGGCAGCTTCCAGCTCGTCGTACTGCTGCTTCAGGGCCAGCTTCTCCTCCAATACCGCCAGCCCGTACTCGGCCGCCTGGATCTTCTCGTGCGTCGTCTCGGTGAGCTCCCTGGTCAGCCGTTCGATCTCGGCCTGGTACTGGTCCGCCGACTGCAGCGCCTCGGCCGCGGCCATAACCCCGGAGCGCGAGGCAGAGGAGCGGCGGCGGGGAGACCCCGGTAGGGCCAGCAGGGACGCCAGGCAAAGTGCAGAGACTCGCAGAGACGCGCCCCAGGGAGCCGAGGCCCTGCGCGCAGGGCACGACTGGAGGGAGGCCCGTGGCTGGCGCTGAGGACCACGTCCGGGATGCCACCTTTCCCACCCCCGCCACCCTGCCGCGAGCGCTCAGGGGCCTCGCCGCATGGCCCGGGTGAGGCGCCTGGGGCTCCGGGTTCGTAGTCCTCAGGGGCGCGCGGCCGCCATATCTCCGGGCCAAGCCACTGCAGTTGCTCCCGGCCGCGGCGCGCGCTCCGCGCTGCACCTGCTCGCGCCGGGCCCGCAGCAGCCCGCGCCCAGTGATGCAGTCGCGCCCGGCGCCCTCCGGTCCCGCCCGGTCGCTGCTGCTGCTGCCGCCAGGGGTGGGGGGCGGGGAGCGCGGAATCGGTACACTGGGAGGGGCAGCACCAGCTGGGAGCTCCTGAGGCGCCTCCCGCAGGCGCACTGGGCTGCGGCCAACTGCTCAGTGAGGAGGGCACACGGGTCCCGGGAGGGGGAAGCTGGGATGCGTGCACTGGGGGGCGGGCATCCCTAACAAGATTGTCATTGTACAAGTCCTAGTGTACCCCCTGCCCCAGTAGTTCCGGAGAGCCTTGAGTGGGCGCCTACCCCGAGAAACCCAAACCAACCTAAGGCGGCGCCCACGCAGCCTTCTCAGCCACCTTCACCCAACAACCCCTACGTCTCCAAAGCCTTCCAGAGGTATCCCAAGGCACCAGCCTCTCTGGCCGCTTTTCTGTGCCTCCTTCCCCACTTGAGCCTTAGGGCTCGTCAGCGCCCCAGCATCTCTGCGCCCAGCTGATTTCAGAATCAATGTCAGCTCAGAAAAATGCCACAAAACAGGCGTCTAGTAAGCGTCTAGAAGATGCACTCCTTGCCCTATTAGGATTTCCGTCTAAGCGCTGGATTCTTCAATGCATAAAGACTACATGGCATTGCCCATAAAAGGAATCAACAAGATCCTACAGTAAACATGTGAACTAGAGCTTGGTTCTGGGTGCGTTGCAGCTGTTCTCTTCACAGCTCCGCAATCCTTTGAGATAGCAACCGAGTCCCACACAACTGCATTTCTAACTGGCCAAGAAAGGCTCTAAAAATTGCTCTGTCCCAAGTCTGGCAGTTCTTAAATCCTTGATCATGAACTTAGGGCTGCTTCTGTGAAACCACTCTCTCTCCGCCTTAATTTGAACCCAAAACTGGATCCTTCTGTTGACTCCATTTGCATGCATTAGTGACAACCCTGCAGCTAAGCATTTTAAGCTGCTAAGACAAACAAGTCAGAGTCAGTGCAGAGTGCTGAGGAAGAGGCACAGAGGAGATGAAGGCAAAGGCGGATTAAAAGCAAGGGAAAAGAGCACAGGAGACGACAGAACAGAGTAATAACAGCAAATACGAGCAATTTAGGGACATGTGGGAGGCTGTGGGCTGGCAGGTGAATGGAGCTAACTAGCTCCTTCCCTCTCTCTTAATGGGGCCAACTTCCAGACCTGCCCCAGTGGCCAAGATCTCTCTCCATCTCTCTGCCTGTCTTTTATCAACAACCCCCCCCCCGCCACATTTAAAATAAGTAAAATTTAAAATTTTACAAGCAAAATTTATTTAATCTACTAACAAGTGGTGGTAATTAGGTATTATATGATACCTAAGAAGCAGTACATGTGTATTTAAAAAGTGAATAAAAGCAAGAGCAATGTGAAGATAAGAAAGATCAGTGGAGATCTCTCTGCAGAAATGAAATTTATTATCTAAAAAGCAAGAAATGTGATTTTGATGGCACAAAGAATGAACATCAGAAGAGCTGAGATTTAGGGCACATACCGGGGAGCTGACCCAAGGCGCCCAAGAAGCAGGCAGCCTGGGGAGAAAAGCAGGCACAATGCTCCCTTGCAGGTCAGAATAAAGGCTTTCAGGACAGGGCAGGCCTGCCTTTAGCTGGAAAATTATCTAATTTGTTTGTTTGTTTTATGAATATCACTTCTAGGATCACCACTGTGCTGCAGGTCACCACCTGCAATGCCACATCCTATGTAAGCTGCTCTGCTTTGACCCAGCTCCAATCATGTATATTGGAAGGCATCAGAAGATGGGCCACATGCTTCAGTCCCTGTTACCAAGGAGAAAGACCCAGATGGATCTGCAGGTTCCTGACTTTGGTCTGTGCCGACCCTGGCCATTGAGACCATTTGCAAGTGTGAAACAGCACATGGAAGATCTTTTCAGTCTGTCTCTCTGCCAATTCCCATAACTCTTTCAAATAAATAACTAAATCCTCAAAAACAAAATTTTAAAGAATATCACTCCTGGGACCAGTGCCATGCCACAGTGGGCTAAGACTCCACCTGCAACAGTAACATTTCATATGATTCAGCTACACCCCTTCCCATCCAGCTCTCTGCTTATGGCCTGGGAAAGCAGCCAAGGATGGCCCAAGTGCTTGGGCTCCTGTACCCAAGTGGAAGACCTGGAAAAGGCTTCTTGTTCCTGGATTCAGATAGGCTTAGCTCTGACTGTTGCAGCCATTTGAGGAGTGAGCCAGTTGATGGAAGAGCTCTGTTTCTCATTTTTCTCAGTGTAGCTCTACTTGTCAAATACAAATAATTTTTTTTAATCTTAAAAATACCACTACTGGGGCCCGGCATGGTGGCCTAGCGGCTAAAGTCATCGCCTTTAACGCCCTGGGATCCCATATGGGCGCCAGTTCTAATCCCGGCAGCTCCACTTCCCATCCAGCTCCCTGCTTGTGGCCTGGGAAAGCAGTTGAGGACGGTCCCAAAGCTTTGGGACCCTGCATCTGTGTGGGAGACCCAGAAGAAGTTCCTGGCTCCTGGCTTCGGATCGGCATAGCATTGGCCATTGCACTCACTTGGGGAGTGAATCATCGAACGGAAGATCTTCCTCTCTGTCTCTCCTCCTCTCTGTATATCTGACTTTCCAATAAATAAATAAATCCTTAAAAAAAGAAAGTACCACTACTGCTTGCAAGAAAAAAAATGCTGGAGGTATTCAAAGATAGATATGAAGTCACCAGTCAGGAGCAGTTGTGACTGTCAAGAAAAGCAGAGTAGCACAGTGGTCTGAGCTGAGCTGGTGGCAAGGAGGAGGGGCTGAAAATGATGGAGGCAGGGCGGAGACCTCCTAGGATCTGACTGAAGACTATCTGTGGCTTAGGGAGAAAATAAAGCAATCAAAAACAACATTTAATTTCCTGTCTTGGGCACTTGGGAAAATAGTTCGCCATTTAGCTCCATGGGAAATGGTAGGAGCGGGCGAGTTCCTAGAAACTGAAAGCTCTGGTTTGGACACGCAAGGTTTGAGACTTGCTGGAGAAACCTGAATGGAAACATTAAGCAGACAATTTGATGTGTAGCCAGAATTAAGTCGAGACTTCCTGGGTGGTCTAATGATTTTCCTCTGGAAATCATTAGCACCAGAGTATATTTCAATCCCTGGAAATGGATGAGATTCCTAGGGAAGGACATACATAGAGAAGAGGCCAGGGCTGTGCCCTGAGAGGTACCCCTAGGAAAGGCTAAGCTGCAAGGAAAAAACCCAGCAAAGAAACTGGGAGGGACAGGTCTGTGTGGTGGGAGCAAGATGAGGAGCGAAGAAGCATTGGAAAGGGGACTAAAGAGGGAGCTTTTGGTCAGGGCCACCCAGAGGTAGAGGCCAAAGAACACTCTGGACTTGTCTGCAAGGAAGTGGGCATTGTTGACAAGAGTAGCTTGTGTAGGATAGAGGGCAGAAACTAGCCTGCAACGGCCTGAAGCCAGGCAGAAGCGCAAAGTGGACACAATCTTAAGCAGACATCGCCATGGCCCCAGGAGCTATCTGGAGAGACCCTGCGCTAAGGTGAGCCGCTCTGCTGATAGGAACTCTTCACACTCGGAGAACTCCAGGTGCAACTCAAGGTGAGTAGGCATGCGGTCATGGCCTCCCACGGAAGGCCTAGGTCACCAGGCTGCACAGATGTCAGTCCTGGAGCTGCTGCCATGGTCCCCAGTGGGGAACGCCCTGGTGGTTCCTGCCACCCTCCACCTAGAGGTCTTCCTGGGCCCTGGGTGCCATGTCCCCAGAGCTCTCGGCTCTGCCGCCTCATTCGACTTATGTCTCTTCCCTTTGGAAAAGGCTGATTGATCAAAGCAGGGCATTTTATACAGAGTCTGGGGGAGCCAGGAGCTGCTCTCTCCCCAGATGCATGAGTTTGCTGTAGCTGCTTCTTAGCTACACAACAAGCCAAGCCCCCATGCTCTCTAGAAAGGCACCGTGTTCTCCAGGTACTCGGTTTAGGTTGAAATTACATTTTCCCATCTCTTTCTATTTCTAAAGATTTATTTATTTGGGACAGGCACCACAGGGCATAGCAGGTAAACCACTGCATGCAGTTCTGGAATCCCACACCAGAGTTTCAGTTCCAGTCCTGGCTGCTCCACTTCCCCTCCAGATCCCTGCTAATGCACCTGGGAAAGCAGCAGAACATGACCCAGGTGCTTGAGCCCCTGTACCCACACGGAGACCTGGAAGAAACTGCTGGTTTTGGACATGCCCAGCTTTGGTCATTGTGGCAGTGAATCAGTGGATAAAAGAGCTCTCTATAACTCTGCTTTTCAAATAACTAATCTTTTTTAAAAATTAAATTTAAAAGATTTATTTGAAAGGTAGAGAGAGAGGAGAGACAGATTTTCTGTCTGCTGGTTCACTCCCCACAAGGCCCACAATGTCTGGTCTAGGAGAGATAGAAGCCAGGAGCAAGAGACTCCATTCTGGTCTCCTGGTATTAGCAGGAAGCTGAAACCTCCCACAAGTGAAGCCAGGACTCACACCTGGACCCTCCAACAAGGTGTGCGGACATCTCAAACAGTGTCTGCAAGACACCTACCATGACCACTCACAGGTCCCTCCTTGTGGAGATGCAACAACCG